TTCCGCATTTGGATTATACATATTGTGTATTTAGCATACTTTTTCAATGAGACAACCGACTACAAGGTGATTTTTATTGTTGCGTAGAAATTTTAGAAGGTGATACTATAGAGCACAAAAGATGCGAAAATTCGAATGAGAGAGTTTTAGTTCTCGAATAAATTTCAATTTAGACGCAAGCTTAAACTTCACCAACACAAATTGTAACCAAATATGATTTCTGAGGTTAGTTCCTTAAAATCTATTTATTACATTGTTCTAAAGAAATTGAGCCACACAAAAGTGTCTTTATATTAAAAATAATAAAAAGGTACAAATTTTGCATCAATTTTTTTCAAGGATACCACCGAATTTCTTTTTCTCAAATGTCATCGACTGCTAGCAATGTAAACTTGTGAATAACGTACTCAAAAGAGCGAACTTACTTATGCTGGAATTTTGTGACGAATTTTTTGACGCTACATTCGTATAATGCAAGTTGAGTTACTTTGATCTTTATCGTATCATCTACTTACCTTGTGGAAACAGTTTAGATTTGCAAGATAATCGAGTGAATAGGAGAGGCAATGTGTCAAATTCGGTGTCATAAACTGAAAGATCAATGGAATGTTTACTATGATTTTGTACCTAATATATATCGAAAGTATTATTAAGCGAACATAATAGATGATGATACGACAAAAAAAAAATCATGATATCCAAAGCACATAAACTCTAGGTATTTTCACAAATTATAGTTTAAAACTATATACAGTGTTGGCTTATTTGTAAAGTCTAAATGACTGAAAATCGGACTTAGTAGGTTTTAGAAATAAACCAACGGACGGAGTGGCAAAATTATGGAATAATCTTATTTATAAAAACTAAAAATATTTGTTTTGACAAAAATGTTCGAACAGGTTATTTTTTTTTTAATACAAAATCCTCAACTTGATTTAAAATTGTAAGTATGTTTGGGTTTTCTTGATCTTATTTCAGTTTTTGGTTGATTTTTTTTCGAAAACTTCATGTAATATTTAATATTTTGATGTTGTCATTTCGACAATTAAAAGATCTATTTGCTAAAAAAAATTGCAAATTTTTTTTTAAAACAAGTTGAAAATTTTGTATCGTTTAAAAAATTACCTGTTGGAGCATTTTGGCCAAATCAAAATATTTTCAGTTTTAATAAGATTATTTCATAATTTTTCCGATCATTGTATAATAGATTATTATGAACACATATCCTCCTACAACAGCTCTAAATGGTGTAAAATTCTGGAAGGCATCCCGCTGTATAAAAAAGTCGTGTCGACAATAACAGTTCGACGCTAGAGCCAAAGCACCTGTCATAAATTCGGTATTTTTGCAAAAGCGCCTCTAACAGTGTAAAAATTTTGGTATATTGTTTAGTATAGCACCATAACCCTGTATGAATGTTTTTGGTCGATTGCAAATGTGTTCTTCTCGGCAGTTATCTGCCCATGAATCATTTTTATTACAATTGTGTCTACGGTGGTCCGTTTTTCCATTATCTTAACTGTGCTGGCAGGAGTGGCATGAACATTAAGCCATCTGTTGTGCTATTCGTTTTAAAAATGTTTACATGACATAAAAACGTAAAGCGAGTGTCGATCGACGTTCAACTAATAGCCCACCATAAAAATAATCTCGCGTCTGTGTTCGAGAGGACCGTTTTATAACGATCAAATGCAAATGCGTTATAGAACAAAACTGTTCGGTCCGATTGTAAAAATGTCCTTTTGATAAATCCGCACGTTAAGGCCAATTTATAAGCGTTAGCGTGGTAATCTGCACTTCCGGTTGACTTCGCTCATACCACCGGAAACCGCCGGACCCGACACTGTGAAAAACCCCACCGCAGGATAATCCGTTAGAAAAATAAATGTTGTAAAAATCTAATCAGTAAACTAAACGGTTCATTTTTATTCTGGCTCTCGGTTTTCACTCCTCGCAGATAAAAATAATATAGCAGTCTCTTATGATATTAAAAGCACCGTTTTCGCGATTATCCTGAAATAATCGCTTATGAAAATATCAGCCGCGTTATTGCCGGCAGCGCTTAACACGTACGTTTATATTGTTGATTTTCATGGGCTGTTTTATCGAGGTGGTTAGTTACTTTGTCATATTAGAGGCGTTCGAAATTCGAAAGGGGATAATTGACTTTATTGACTTGCCACTTACTGTTCAAATAAACTTTAGATCAAGCACAAAAGTTAAACTTGCATAATTTGTTTTCATAAATACATCGTAAAAATGTATTTAACCGCCGTAAGGTAGAGAAGAGAACTTCGTGTTATGTTGCTTTCTAGTCGGACATATCCTATATTACTTGCTGCACCTATAATGAATTGGACAAGCTTTATAACCAATGCAGAAGACACATGGTCATAACTCATAACTATGACAAAAACATCTAACATAAATAGGTTTAGGTACAAATAAAAATAAGTTAATAACAAAGAAGTTGAAAATTAAATTTAATCTGTGCAAGACAAATGAAACTTACATTGAACTTTTCTTGTAATAAATATTTTTGGAGTACAATTCAGCTCTTAGAAATCAGGACTAAGATCAAATAGTTCAAATGTGACATTTCTCGTAACTTGTAATGTGACAAAAATATATCATATTCTGAATATTATTTTATTCTTCAACACTGTCAAAATTTACGGTTTTCCTCCCGTGTAAGGAAGTTTTGACAACTGTTTGGCATTTCTCAATACAAAACGTCAAATTATTTTTAACAGATTTAAAGCAAGTTTAAGCCTTGTTGATTCTAATTCGAAGAATAAAATGTTGTATTCCACTCGTTTGAGTGTAAATCGGACGCTCGTGGATGGTAAACCACTCGTTACACTCGTGGTTTAAAAATCCACTCGGTCAAATAAAGAGTCCGATTTACACTCAAACTCGTCGAATAAATAACTATTATTCACCATCACTAATGTAATATGCCGATTACTAACCTTTTAAAGGTTGGGAAACACATCATTAAATCTCATGCGGAGTAACAATATTACTTCTCTTGGGCGGTAATATGCACGATAGCCAACCACAAAATTACAAAAATACCGGGAATTTTTTCTTTCAAATTGTCAATAATATTTTGATAAATTAGTTTTCAATTGCTTTTGAAGCAGTTTCTCTTACTTCTGGTGGAGTACACTGCTCCATTTCGACGATTTTAAATCAGATTCATACATTATTTCAATATTTTATTTGACATTTCTGGCCTACTACGTTTGGATCTTAACTTTGTTAGAATTTTATTTTACTCAAATTTTTGACTAAAAATAATTTGATTGTGAATAAAATAGCATACAAACCTCGATGGTAATGGCATTACCCCTGGTGTTTTATACATAAGCACTCGGGGTAATGCCATATTTACCACCTCGCTTGTAATGTACTATTATTATAATTATACAATCAACTTGCTAGAAATAGCTACTCCTGTTTACAATATTAGACCGGTAGCTGTCACTTTTTACGATGATTTTTCTGTATAAAAGAGTGGAGCTTCTTGGCTCCAAATTTGTCAATAGGGTTCAATTGTAACACAGATCCTTTTAGTCTTTTACACTGAAATCAAATGTTTCATTTCATCTTAAAAAATGCAGGTGCGACGTTACCGATATTCATCGGTATATCGTCGTTGATTCTGCAATATCTGCTATGTGCATTTTAACGTCGATTGTATTTTTTACACCATCTGAAAGCCATTTTGACGGTGCATTTATCCAGTTACGAAAAAAAATAGTTATTAAGACAACAAGAGTTTTATAGATATTTTAAAAATAGAGATCGTAGTTTAATAATAGAAATTTTTAAACTATAAATCACGAGTTGGTTTCAACACTTTTTCCATCAGTAATATTAGATCAGACATGTTAAATTGTTATAAAGATATTTGTCAAAACTGACGAAATTCCAAGATAATTATATTTTATGTACTTATAAAATACGTTGTGGCTGACGACGTGTGTTATAGAAGAGTAACAGGTGTAGGATAACTTTTGCAACTGTTTTTTACTTAAAAGTGAAGAAAAGATGGAGCATAACCTCTTTTTTAAACATACTTTAATACTTCAGAAAAGGCAAATTTACACAACTTAGAAAAAATGTGTCACTTGATTTTTACAGTGTACGCGATTATAGTATTGTCAGCCACTGTACGCCTTTATTCCAAAGAATGATACTGATTTAATTTTAATAATTTGGATTTTTCTAAATAGTTTTTTATTATATTTTCAATCTTAATTTAATCCATGTTTTAAAAATTAACTAATTTAAAACATTTTGTTTGCACAAATATTATCCAGTTTGTTGATTGTAGATTCATTGTGACTTCTAATTTACTGTTGTTTGTCTGTATTGTTTTTTTGTTACAATTGATTTGTTTTTTGTGATCACTTCTAATTTTTGTAATTTTTCAATCAATATGCAGCTCCAACTACGACTCTTTGTAGCAAGGACATTTTTTTCTCGATTTTTTGAGGAGCGATATTGTTCATTTTTTTGCATTGCTTTACTCAACAACATATTCAATTTAAATTTTTAAAGTGAAACTTTTTTCCATCGCCTCAAATTTTTTCGTCCATCTATCGCATGTCGCATTACAGCCGGCTGCGGAGTAAGGGTAAAGTGAAAGGTGCTCGGCAGAGCAGCCAAGGCCAATATGATGGCGGTGCATATTCTTACTCATTCGTGCAAGTGCTCCGCGGTATTTGTGTGTTTTGATCAGTGTATTGATGTGTACTGATTCGAAAAAAAAGTTTCACTCGCATCGTGGTTTCTTTAAACCATAGCAGTTTTTTTGTTTTACTTTGGAATTGTTACAAATTCCTTGTTGGAACCAACTTAAAATATTTTTAATAATTAAGGAAGGAAGTTACTACTTACCTTTTCTGTATAACGAGCATCAGCTTCAGCTTGATAACGTTGATATTTTAGTTTATTCCTTATGAGAGGAGGTGAAAGTGAAATAAAAGGCATTTATATTTTGAACAATGTCCATATTATATTTATCCCACATACACACGGCACGTTGTGAACCTTGTCTTATCATTGTAATAATTATATGTACATTGTAGAACGTGTAGTTAGATATACATGAAGGCCCGGGCCGTTGCCGAGCGCTACAAGAGCAATGCGAGCGACCAACTTTGTGTGGCCTCTCGTCTGAACAACATAATTTTCTTATGTTACAAACTCTATCTGTACAATCATTCTAATTAGCAATATGCCATCGCCTTCATTATTATCATAGTGTAAAATCTTGTTCATAAAGTACGTACTTACAGTAATTGTTTAATAATAATAATATTATATTTTTCTTAATGTAAAAGTCAAAAGCGTCCACAGAAGGAATATGGTTATTGCTTTTTTATTGCAAGAAGCCGTTCGGCTGTAATACAATGAGTTTACGTAACACTGAGCGCCGAGGTATGGGCCGGTCTACGGGGGCTGCTCTACCGACTAGGACTGCTAAATATATACGACGGAGGCCCCTAACAAAGCGGCCCAGACCCGAGCGCGGATGGACCAGGGGCTGCAACACAGGGACAGGGCGGGTGCCATAATACATCATATCGTGGCGGCACCTAACCACTCGCTACCGCTTAATTAAATAAGAGTATATGTTATGTATATCATAGTAATATCAATATATACAGCTTGTATACATTTAATAACGTAATCCTAAAGTACGTATGAAAGTAACACAACAAAAGAGCGCGGGGCGCCTTAAGTATACAAAAGATGGGGGGGCGGCACGACCTCAGTCTAAACTACCTGCGTCCACCCCTAAACTATATACGCTTGCAAGATCAAAGTAAATACAATAATAAAATTTTGGACAGCACGATTTAATTTTCAGTGTATAGTAAGGCCCACGATATACAGTTTTAATCATACAACTGAAAACTTCACAGTGTGAATCAATATTGTCGAGATAATATTCCGTTTGGGAAATAATACGTTACAAATGACTAATAAACTCCTACTCTAGCCTCTAAGGGACGGAGGGACACGCCGAATGTCACAATAACAATTAAGTACAACCCGAATTTGTATTTCATTATTTGTAAAAATCAATAACAACCTATACACTAAACTAACATCCGCAACGTTTTTTTTTATTAAATATTTAGTATTTTTTGTTAATTTGTTTTATACTTTGGCCGATTAGCACCACCACATGTGTAATAGAAAAATATGCACGCGAATATTTTTTTTAATTAGATTAGCTCGACGTGCCCCTCTTTGAAGGTCCGAGCGAGCCCGCGACCGGCCTTTTGATATGTTGGTATACGAGAGGCGGTGCAATGCGCTGCTGGAATGTGCCCAAATCGCGGACTGACGCTCAGCGGAGACTCCACAACCGTCGAGGTGGCCACACATCCCCTTTTTTTTATTAAAGACATGCAGCCACATCTCCATCGGTTTTGTCTTCTGCATGTTAAAGCTTGGGCTACTGGGTCGATGAATTTTTAAATGCATTCCTCCAAAATCTCGAGTTAGTTTTTTTTGTTTAGAACTTAGGCCAAAAATTGCAATTTTGCACACTCAAAACAAACACGAGTAAAACGAATCAGTGCGAGATGGTGGAAGAAAAACATTAAAATTCCCTGAGTCGACCCATGTGGTGTCTTTTTCTAAACTTATCCCTACCATTTAATGCAATAACACAGTTTACAGATATCAAAATATATAAATGAAAACTTATTTTTGGTTTTAACCTACCTACACTTACCGTATTGCTCTGGATTGACATTAAAATACTTCGGCATTACCAAAATAAAAACGCAGTCACTGTATTGACATTAGTATTGACATTTTATACCTTTGGTCAATTCTCACCAAACATGGACGGAAGACGCCGCAAGACGACGCATCCGTCTGTCGAAACCTAATTTCCTATTTACGCCGACATTCAAATCCAACAACCCCGCCGAAACACAACTAAACGAGCTTTAATTGACATTTGAGATAGTAGTTGAGAAGTTGAAAAGTAATAAATATGACACTTAATTAATAATAAAAATAATAATTGGATGGGGAGCGTCGGTGACGTGGACATGGGTGGCGGTGGGTCATTAAATCTAAATGTCGGTTACTAGCTGCTAGCATCGCGTAACCTCGGTCGAGGTTCAATAAATAAATCGCACAATTTCACGGAAACGCGCGCCTACCCACTACAATTAATTTTCAACTACAGTCAATCGTTGCGACAATTCGAATAGCTAAATAAGCGTTCGCGCGTCACGCCTCTAAAGTCGCCGCGTCTAGATGAATTATACTATGCGTCACGTGCGAACGATACTCGGCCACTATTTTCCATTTCCTACATTCGAACTATATTTATGTAATTAATTTATATCGTGGTGTATTTGTACTGAGGAGACAAGCAATTGCAGTCAGTCAGACAACAATGATAATATTCATTTAACAAGCCTACCGGCGAAATATATAACTTAAAAACAATCAAATCATAACACACCATATAACTCACATGGAGGACATTGTGAGACGGCGGGGTGTGTTCAGCGCCCGCCGGATTAATTAACTATGTCATTTCGTGGCGATCACAATAATTTGAATATAGGTAAGTTTTGCTAAATGCGGCCGCATGCGGTTGCTGCGGGCGCTCCTACACCACCGTCGCCCCACCATTATAGAATATTCACTTAATAACAGGAAACATTTATATAATATATACTTTAAATTGATCTGGCCTATACTAACAATTAGACAGATCTAAGGTTAGGATATTACATGAGGAATACGTTTAGGACCCTACAAGCTACACAGACGCCAGTGGGCCGCATCGAACCTGACCTCGCAGAAACGTCAGTCCATCAACCAGAGTTGAATTATGATGAGGGAAGGTTTATAGGTATATTAGGTAAGTTATTATATATAATTAGAAAGATCGAAACCAGCGCTTCCTTGGCCGGGTCTCGATCCGACCCATCGAATCAAATAACAATAATAATTATTATATACAAATTCCTTAAATTATCCAATTAGTGGTTTGTATACATTAATCGCGCAACACACTATGTGTCGGACAACACAAAAACTTACACTTAATTTGTTCTTTTTTCGTATAAATAACAAATAATGACGACCTATGACGAAATAAAATTTTATATAAAAACAACTATCGAATAAAGAACTCAGATTAAAAATAATAAAATTTACCACGGCAATGCGCCAAAAAAATAAATTGCCGACATTGCCTCGTTGGTCCTTAATTATAATAATATGTGAGGATAATGTATCCCATTTTAAAGATACCCTGTAATATATCATATGTAAGAAACGCAAGACGTAACCAATAGTGCCTGTGTTTGGTGGGGAAGCCGCATTTTCGGAAGCCGTCGAGCAATCATCCACATCACTAAGCAACCCAAAAATGAAAACCCAAAAGCAACCAACCACACACTCAAAATTTGGCAGCGAAGAAATGTAAAAATTATCGTTCTAGAACCGCACCGCACGTGACCTAACTGTAGTTCTATTATAATGAGTGCATTAAAACGGAATCGAAAATATCCTATCTAAAATGCGGCGGGTCGTAGGAACATTTTTCATTAACGTGGTGACAATGTGTCCCAGATTATTCTCTTTGTATTGGGTCACCACACTCGGCGGCTACCGAAGGGCGGCGAAGCGGGACGCTGACACCAAACATTACAACAACAAGTGGGCCGCGCCTGGCGGGGTGCTACATTATTATTATTATTATATTATATTATAATATTATACACATAAAGTGAATGTACAAGTGCAGTTGTGATGACATCACAGTAGCTGCCGAGTCGAGTCACACAACACTAGACAGTCCTCGAGCTCAGTGATAGCCGTTGGTAAACGCAGCAGGAATTAAGGGACCCTGGAACAAATAAAACGACTATTCTATAAAAACCGGACCGACAACCGAACTTTAATACATCTTCAAATGTAATGCAACGATATGAAATATTGTGTTGTACTGTTCTGTTATAACGTCAGCTCAATAAGAAAACTAGTTTCATGTTTTTTACAACTTCTACTAAGAAAACCACACTGCAATTTTATTGGTTTTCCAGACAAATAAGACGGATTCATCTTGTTGACTCGCATTTTTTGCCTCTCTGTCATATTCTCGTAGACGGATCTGTACGAACCAAATTACAATTTGAGCAAAACAAACCATAAATTTAATGCATTATAAAGCTTTCACTTTAATGTTACTTTTGTTAGCATAAGAATTTAATTAGATTTTTTTTAAGTATGTATTTACTGGTATTAATTTTGAAATTAGGGAAAACTAGTTGTCATACGTTCTTATTAGTTGCGGCTGCAAAGTAAACGCTTAGACTGCTCAATGTTAACATACATCATGGGTACCGTAAAAGGGGGTTACTTTGACATAGTTTGAAAGGTTTTGTTAATGTATTCGTTGCAATATTTTCTTGAAAAAATTAGCATCAGAACAATTGATCCTTCTGCTTTAACAAACAAACTTAAAATTTTGTCTTATGGTCATAGTTTCACACAAATAATATGTTTTTTGTATACGCTCCCGAAAACAGCTGTTTTAGGGACTCATTTGAGTCTCTAAAATGAGTCTTTTCCGGACTCAATAAAATAGTACGCAAAACTATTATTTTAGGGACTCAGTCCTCAAAAACAGTTTTTGCGGACTAAAAAATAAAATTGGTAACTATGATAACGAAATTTTTTGAATTAGTAAGAGGTGTGAATTTGTGTTTTGGGAGCTTTAACAAAAAAATCTTGTATGCACCACGTACGCAAAAGGTTTTAGGGGACGAATCGGAATTAATGACGAGGCGACGTAGGAGCCGAGTCTTTAATGAGAGGAGTCTATTTTGTGAACTTGATACATAACTAGCTATTATTTGTACTTTCTTAAAAAAAATTAAATAAGTCATTTTTTGGTATGTTGTGGCTTATATTATGGCATAAAAATAAAATAAACATAATTTCGGTATACTATACTGAAAATGAAACAAAATTAGTAGCCCCATAACGTGTTAAAGTAACCGCGGATGTCAGAGTAACGCCATTTTACGTCTCTCGTTGAAACCACTGAATTTGGAACAAAACAGAAAATATTATTGTATTAAATTTGTTTAAAAAAAACAGCAACCTCTTTTATCCTATTATTCCTTTTTAAACACAGCATACATATTCTAGTACAGTATGTCCCCGGATTGAGTTTCCAAGAAAAAAAATCTTTGATTTTATGCCAAAACTGTAAAAGAAAAACATTTTTTGCTTCACCTATAACGAGCAAACCTGAAATTACAATTGCTTTAATTTTGATTCATTAGAAAGAAAAGTTCATTTTTCTCTTGATTTTGAATAAGTAAGTACATATAGGTAGGTGTATATGTACAGGGTGTCGTATATCGAGTGTCCAGTCTCCAAACTCAAACATAGGGAAATAATGTTGAATGCAATGTTTAAGTGTTTTGCCAATTTCTTTGATAACATCTAAGTAATATAAGTAATCAACTAAGTAGTCGTTGAAAGGGATCATTTTAAGGTGACAACCATGCAAAAATTCAAGCAATCCTAACCTCAATCTTTCCTACAAATTATTTTTTAAAATAAAACTGTACCCCAGGTAGCAAAAAATAATTAAAATTAACAACGTAATTAATTAGGCTAGCAAACATAAAGATTTTTGTCATTATTGATGTGATTAAATTTGTTCAGAATGACGTTAATGACACTTTTTGTGTAAATCAGGCTTTAAGTTTAAGTTAGACTTCTACAACCTACTTGATGCACATTAAATTCAAGGAAAAAAAAAATTCAATTGATAACACTGTCAAATTTAATAAATGACATACTAACTTTCTTTAAATTTAGTAATCTAAATTTTTTAAACATAACAAAAGTCAAGTTGTGAGAATGTAATTTGCGTTGCGTCTGAAAATCGGCCAGAGGTCTTTATCATAAATGACTTACTCTGTATATGCTATCAAATAACACCTGAGTGACCATTAATTGGAATTATAGAACTGAATTCCAAAAGAATTACAATTAGATTATTGGAATTACTACTAAAACTTCCGTAAATTTTTTTGGAACTGAAATTAGGTGTGCAAATTGTTTTAAAGTTGTCGGCCCAACTTATAAATTAACAGTTCTTCATAACATAAAATTAGAAACGTAGTTGTGGTAGTTACGAATTGAATAAAATTCGTTAGTCAAATTTTATCGCGCAACGTTCGACGGTTTTCCAAAAATATAAATGTGAAAGGTTTGTATGGACTCACCGGACTGTAGTTAAGAGGGGCCCTGCTGACGGCGATCGCCGGGAAGCTGGAGGGTTGTGGGCTAGCGGCCTGCACATAGCCCACGCTATCCCCCGCACTGCTATTATACATATCTATGGTAGGTCCAGGTGAGTTGGCAGCAGGAAATCCACCACGTGTGTTGGCTGCGTGGGGTGAAGCTGGCGGACCGAAGCCCTGCGCTGCCGCCGCCGCAGCCTGGTAGTTATTCATCACTGCAAAGGAAACCGAGAAGTGGGGTTGTGGTGGTGCAGTCTGGTCGGCTCCGGAAGGCTGCGTCCAACTGGCTCCCGACGACCCTGCAGGAACACAACACACTCCTGGAGCCGACCGAGGCCGCTAGTACTATTACTATTGTGTGGATGAAAATATAGGGTGAAAAAAATCTACGGTTCTACGACTACGACATTCAAGGCAATAAAGTTTAGAACGTGGTGATGTTAGAAGGAATGAGGTTTGTGCTAAACTAACGTGTAACTAAAACAATGGACACGCTCTCGTCATCAAACGGCTCCATTTAAGTGTACACAGGACAAGGCAACATGCAAAACAATACGAGTAATTACCTGACAAGGCCTGAGTCAATAGTGGGGTGTTATTGTTAGGTGTCAGTTGTCCGTTGGTTAGGTCCACTGGAAACACACAGCACACAAGATTAATACAGGGAAATGACTGTACACGTGCTACATGTATTCGTGTAAGAGACTGTGTAATTATAAACGTGGTCGTCAAAGGTTCGACACGAAAGTTGCTTTGTTTTTCGTGATGATGCGCTTTCTAGAAAATGGAGCAGCAATCAGTCTAATTACTATCGTGAGATAGATAGAAAAAGCATAGGGATAGATAGAAAAATACGTTAGTTTCTAGATAAAATAAACTCCTCTATTATCTCCGATCTATATTAGATTCAACTTTCATGTCAAATTCGCCAAGTCGATGGTCGTTTACATGCTTCAATCTCGTCGAAAACTTTCAGTCGAATTAAAGTTTGATAATAAAAATGCAGGAAAGCTCCAGACCCATATAAGGTTTATACACAGCCATGTGATGGATGAACAGAAGGTTCGGAAAAGAATGAAAAAGCTGTCCTCGAACGTATCGGCAGGAGTTTCTCCAAACCAACCATCTATCATCAACGGACAGAATTTAATATACAACATGTCCAAGGCCTCGCCTATTTATTGAATCTTCTAGTAATTCTTCCGGATACAAATTACGATAAATCAAAAACCACCATCGATAAGGCGCTCTCAACCAAATAAAGAAACGAGATTAAATGTGTAAGAGATGTGTCTAAAGAAACGTCATAAATTGCGGAACGCACACATAAATTCCACTAAAGTATCTGCTATGTTCTATCAATTTCTGCCGACTATTATCCAACTATCTGTTTCGCATCACTTCTATTATACATATTTTGCCTTCGCTACAAGTTCAGTTACTATAGAAGAAACTGATAGTCGGCGATCTTTCGCTACACATCGACTAATCTAAATCACAAGAATGTTAAAATCGCTATAAATCTATAATCACTAAATTTATAGCATCTTTTTACAAATTATTAAAAAAAAATTCTACGATCTAATCTACGTTCTATGTGAGGCTATTCTATTTTTATCCGACAATGTTATTTCGTTACACCTGATTTAGTATGAATGCGACTACGCTGATCTACATCTATGGTTAAACATTGATCTGCTGAAAGTCTATATCACAAAATTAATTATCACATGACTTCTATGACTGCACTAAATATTAGTAGATTTACTCGCCCCTCGTAAGCGTTGCAAAATTCCAAATTGGCATCCGCTTCGGTAGTTCACACACTGTTTAACACCTCAAGTGTAACCTATTTTTGTATCATCGGGCAGACGCCCTTTTTGCGTCCCAAATTCGCACCTGGACTTTAGAAAAACGAAATCCTAACAACTCATGTAATACTAAATAGCAGTTGGTTTTAATTAATTGTTCTACGATATTGAGGCGCAAACTTTCAAGTACAATGACAAAATCCTCGCTATTAATGAGTTTCTAGTATTGTAGCCCGACAATTAAATAACCAATTAATTTCAGGATTTATTTGTGAAGCACATTTGTACCACCCATTACTCATGTACTGGTGGGAAAAGCTACATTGTCTCTTACTAATTGAGACGATCAATTTCCGTCATTTAGCTATTTTAATTAAAAGCCATAATTACGCATCTATAACTTGAAATGTCACACCACACGTTGAATCAAATTAATTCTCGATACCTGCTGGGGATAATTTTAAAATGTCATAGTTAATAACTGCGTCATGCAACTTGCGTAATTAGAGAAGCTTCTTGGTGTTGGTGCTCGTGAATATGGGTGACTATTGTTTACGTGTCTTACATGACTGATCTGTGATTGTGCTTGCAGGCATAATAGTAGTAGAGAATACGCCCTTTGCTTGATGCATTATTCATGACATATCTTTATAAATACATTTCAAATTATTAGTCCTGAAAGGGTTCGAAGTAGAAAATTTGCAGAAAGCGGTCTAACCACGTAACGAATCAAATTCAATTAAACTTTCCTAGTCGCCAGTTGTACAATTATAATATTGAAGGATAATCCCTTTAGGTGCCGGGGGTAACATGCTAGATCCTCGATTTACATACTAATCAGACCCACTTAAACTAGAGTAAGTCTACTCAACAACATAAAACACGCCTGTTTGTTCAATTCTAGACCGAAAAAATCGATATGTTCGTGATAGGTTTAGAGAAGCATGCGTAAGCATGATGACAATAAATTTAGCGACCCGAATGCAAATCTTAATAGAAAGTCAGTGGTGGCTCGTCCAGGTGTGAATTTGCGACGCCTAATATACAACAGAACATATAGACACAGTAAAAATGCAGTCGTTTCCTTACAGTATACATTTGTTTATTTCACAAATTGCTTAAAACGGTCCGTTGCGATCAGGGCAACAAGCAACAGTCTCATAACATCGAATACTTATAGAAATTACGAATATGTACAGTCACACATCCTCACATACATTTATAATAAACAGCTTTGGCATATCGATTATTATTTATAAATCTTAATGATCACCTGGACAACATTCCAGCTTTGTTGTAGGTGTATAATAATGCACACAGAGAAATTAACGTAATCGGGTAGCCGTAGGGATCGATATTGCGGCTTGGACGTAGCCGAGTAGCCGAATTGTGTTTGCATAAGGACGCTTCGTCTCAATTAAACTTGATACAAATTGACAGATCGAGTCCTCTGTCCGCATCTCGATACCTGCGGCGACAGTCGAATGCTTGCAGATGTACAATGGAGACAACGCCTAATTGAATCGGTCTATTGCTAACGATTAATAATTGCCACAACCCACATTTGCCAAACTCTTAAGACTGAGCAGAAAAATAAATTCGAATTTAAGGCAAACAAGAGCGAATAATGCCAAATAGCAAACGTCATGTGCACCAGGTGTGGCAAACGCGGCGGAATTTGTTAGGGTGAGCTTAGCAAACCGCATGTATCTAAAATCAATATAGCATTGTCCCATTTAAATAGAATAACGGCTATACAGAGAGATCGCGTCGCGAATGGGATCGCCTAGTTCGGACGTGTGCGCATCACCTTAGCCTATGCATTTGTAAGAAGTGACCAACCAGACAGACCATGCTCCTGTGAACGCAGCGCGAACTTTGAGTAGGTATACAGGATGAACGCGAAAGTGCCCAATCGCGGCCGGACTCGCTGGATGGAGGATTTGGGACGGGGTCGCGGCCAAACGGCGACGGTTGTTTCGAGAGGCATCGAGGTGCTCACGTGAAAAATTATATCTTTTCTTTTTAGAACAAGCGTATATAACAAATTGTATATAATCCTTTGTCAAAATACAAAAATAACGAATTAACAATAACAATGTACAAATTTATCTATTACGGCCCAAGCGCAGAGTCTTCGGAGAATTCGACACGTTCCAAGGATTTTTGCTATTTTTACGATTGGAAAATACGCTTAATATTTAAAATAAAAAAATTATTCGAAAAGCGCAGATTGTGCGTTCTATTAAAACTAAATTTTAAAATATTTATATCACAGTAGATGGAAATTTTTCGTTCTTAACATAAGTCGCTGAAATATGACGGACTCTTCGTCTGAATTTGAACCGAGAGATCATCGCAACTTTAACAAGTAAAGGCCAAATCAGATGAAACTTGCTCGGGGCCTTTTCAATATTGGAATGGACAGAAGGTTGCTTGCAAAGCCAGTCGGAGCTAAACTGAAACTAACCATACCGGAGGGGCGCCACTATCGTACACAAGAATATCATCCTAACCTAACAGTTACTCACCTAAACTAGCACTACACCTACCGATTATACCCATTGCCTATCTAGTATTAGTTGACTAAAACGGAATCGAAATACATCTTCCAGTCCACGGCAAAACAAGAAAACAAAAGATCAAAGAAATGAAGAAGAAGAAGAAAGGATGGACTGGAGAGTATGTATCGGATAAGAACCAGTCTAAGAAGAGAGTTATCTTTGTGAATACAAGTATGCTCTGTGTAAAAAGTGTTAGTATATACGTCTAGATCTGTTAGTAATGCTGTACTGCCACGCGGGCGACGCGATTTCGTTCACAGGGGCATGGCATGCAGGCTGGCGGCTGTTGCCGTGCCACCGTACATCCCCAAATGATCAAGGGGGTATGGTAACAACGGCAACGGGTGGTGATGATGGTGTAAACTGGCCAAGGCATTACCTGTTGGGTACGGTAGTCCGAAACTAGGGTAGCCCGAGTAACCTCGACCGGCCGCGTAGGCCGCGTATGCGGCTGCCGGAAAACCTGCAACAGAAAACACCCATCAGACAACATTCTCGGAAAGATTAAAGGGTTACTATGGAGTTAAAATTTTTCAAGCTTTTTAGTGCTACCAATAAAAAACTCTTGCCAACGTTTCCACTTGGCAAGAATTTTTACTATCTTCTTATAAGTTTATTTGAAATGTTAAAATAAAAAAATGTTTACCGAGAAATTTAAACTTCATAATGACACCAAAACCAATTTGTATGACATTATAATTATTCAGATTTTCTCACTAATTGTGGGATACACCCTGTATACAGCACTACAAATATAAGTTTTAAGGTATAGCAAAATAGACATTAAAGCATCTCAAAATTTGTTCTTGTTGCTTCTATCAATTTGAAGGTTTTCTACAAGAAATGTACAGTGGTTCTGTATAAGACACACCAACCCTAGTTAGTTTTATCATTAATTATTCAAAATCTTTAATCACAAGACAAATGTTGCAATAGTACCTAACGTAATGCTATCCATAACGTAATAATAAATGACAAATTGACAATTTATTAAAAAAATTAATCATTTAAAATTTTTAGTTATCAACTCTAGCATTTTTGGGATAAAATCAATCATTACACCCGTGAGTTAATTTAAACTTTTGTGACTGAAATGGGATTATCGACAATACCGGATTCAATACTGTTCGTCCTCAATCCGGTTTCGTGCACGGCAACAATCGAAATTTTGACCCACAATTCTCCAGAGAGAATTAAGACGTTCAGTCATTTTTGATCGTGCAACATTAAAAATGAAAAATTCTTTACATACCATAAAAATAGATTAAAGATTTGATTAGAAACTTTATATAGGATAAATACATTAATAGCGGCTATAAATTGATTTAATGGTTATTTATAGTCGTAACTATTGAGCAAATAGATGTGGATGTGTGCACATAACTGTAGGTAGATAAATCATTCGTATGTGACAAAAAATGCAGTTTTATTAAAAACTAGTTGTGTTACTCACCGTCAGGAAGAGCTCCAAGTGACCACATAAAATCTAAAAAACCAAAAAAAGAAGATTAGTTCAATTTGATTGAAAATACGACGCGCGACATTTATAAACAACGAACTATTTTGGACTATTAATAAAATGTTAGCATCCATGAAATTTCATACTACGTGTCTACACTACACGGTAAGTAATCAAAACGCGTGTAATAAGCGAAAAATTAAATAAGGGAAAACGGTATACGTAAGATAAGGAGTTAAAAAAGTAGCTGCATTATTTCTCGACAACTGCATCAACATTCGACTAGATTCTACAAACTATATATGTATCTACATTAATACAACGCATTAAAATTATACTAAGTCGTTCCCGGAAAGTTGCTCAAGAAAAAGTAACAACTTTCGGGGCTAAATCCAACAACTAAATTTAAGTATCTAATAAATCTTTGTAAGTATGTTTTGTCTAACAACTATTTTACAATTATTACAACAAAACAAAGCCTTTTAAACCCCGTAAAGGACTTTACGATGGCTCACTGAAAATAACAATAAAATTTATTATACATCAGGCTCTAAATATTGCTAGGCTATAGTCAGAGTTAAGAATTTTATGTCCGGCGGGTTAGTCAAACCGTGTAATTGTTGTACTTTCTATACTTTAAAAACTAACGGAAGAAAAATAAAAAGATAAAAGAAAAATAATTTCGCTGCATCGTAAATTGGCGACACGGCGAAACGTGTTCGTTTTTGCCTAGACAAAAATTTTGCCGAGACAAAAGTTTCTAAGTTCTAAATTCTATACAAAAGATTAGATCGCACCTTGATAGGGCTACGGTACATGAACGTAAACGAAGCCAGGACGAATCCTCAGAAAGGACCAACAAGAAGGAAACCTGGCAGGACCTGAAAAGGAGGAACTACTGCCCCGACTTTGCGTGAAAATTACACGTAAATTCTCTGTAAAAACACCCTAAATCTAATGCCTAACTTTAGAATACAGTGTTATTTTTGTAGTTTTTGTCCGCTTGCAAGATCGAGCGAGATAAACTTAAAGTCATTAATAAAATAAAAGCAACTCGCTCGAACTAAATACATTACATTTTGGCATAGACACGTTGAAATTTCATGAGCTACACAAAGTTACTAACAGCTGCATTGTAACTGTATAAACTGCTCTAGGTCTAAACTTTTTAAATATCATCATTACATGACTTTCTCACAATGTACATATGGCTACTGTTAACTTAGTAAATAAATAAAAGTAATATGCCTACTAGGAGGCAGTGACGGGCTAGAAAAGAGTATAAATTTCTAATGTATCTAAGTGTACCATTTTCAAAAAATATATTCCATCTATGAGGCTAACTGTTCTAATAAGAAAATCTCTTTTATAGAAAACTAAGTAACTACGGTTTAGTTGGATGTTGAAACAAAATAGAAAATGTGTCAAAATCCAACAAACAATCTAATTGTTCTAGGATTTATCTCACTAGCAGTCTTAAATTTTGTACTGAGCTAACAGAATTTAGGCCTTTCGGTAAAATCTCATCACAGCGGTTTCCTGTACGCGATGTGCCAAAACGATATGAATAATGTATAGAGGTACGCATATTCACTTAAGAAGAGCTACTCTAACAACACATAAATACTGATATGTTGGCAAAACAAGCGGAGGACACGTTACATTTTCTGACACTTATTATTCCATTATATTTTATAATATAGTTACCAAAAAGATATACCCCGGAATAATCCATTACGAAAGCACCACTCGACGCATTCGCCTAAATTACGAATAAATTCCATATTCGAAAGAGAAATACGCACAATTTTCGGAATGTAAATATTTATAAAACGGATGCTCCATGTAGGTGTTCAGTCAATTGAAGATTGAATATTCCAACAGAGTGCAAAAGTAAAAGTTTGAAATATCACGACCTGTTCAAACTTTATCTAAACGAACTCAAAACACTTCAAGTGCTCTAGTTTAATCCAATTCCGCGACGAAATCCCTTCAAATATGTATCACGAACGAACCTAGTGCTGCTTTCTAACCGTGGCAAAACACGTGAAACTACTAAGATTGGTAGATAAATAGACATTCATTTAAGAGAAAATGACCGAAAATTACCAACATCAAAGAGGGGAAGTCGACGACTCGATATACATATTCAACACGTTAGCCATTTTATTTGAGTGAAACTGGCAACATCTCTTATACATTAGAGTCCCAAGCCCGCCGGCAGGGTGTTGGCATAAACCGTAGATATGTCAAGTCCCTGTACCCCTAATAAATCGCTCATGCTGTAGGTGAGTGTTGGCGGCGCCCTCGCGGGCACTGGTCTCAAAGCAGCAGGGGTGGCAAACACTCTTTTACAGCCCGTCACATCGTACACGGCTGAGGCGTAATGCAGAGGTGCCGGAGCCACGGCGATCGCCGCCACAGGAATCGAATGACCTCCAGCCGTGGCTACGGGCACACTTGCACTCACTGGAATTGGGTACGGGGCATAGCGTAAGGCGGAAGTAGCGTTGCCAGCCGCGACATGGCCCGGATTCAGCATTAGTAACTCACCGTAAGCACCCCGACCGGCCGCCCTTGTCTTCGCTAGGTTGGCGGGGAGCATTACTTCTTTTGGTTGCGCTTTCTTACATTCCACCTGCAACAATAAATAATATGCCATTAAAAACAGCATTCAAAACAATTTTTTCTAAATTTGAAGAATCAGTTAAACAAAGCGTAGTAAGTATAGGTAATTTAAACAATAATTGAAATCTCAACGCTATAAATATCTAGGAAGTTAAAATTCAAACAGGATATGTATCAAAAGAATTCTATGGGTAGTGAATGGACAAGGATGTACTGACTGTACTGTACCATCTCTGCAACATCCTGTATTATACTCCTATATTTTTTAAATCTTTTAGTCCTTTAAGTTAAGACTCATTCGTCAACTTACAAATGTAAATTTGATTTAACTTTTGAAGCCGTAAATTGAATTTTTTAAAACATACAGGGCGAGTTACCTACTTACAGGGTGATTCAGATAATGAGCCTGACGATCTGGCGATGCAACCCAATATAGTTATTTATTCGACGAGTTTGAGTGTAAATCGGACGGATTATTTCACCGAGTGGGTTATTAAACCACGAGTGTAACGAGTGGTTTATTATCCACGAGGTGGAATAAAGCGTCCGATTTACACTCAAACGAGTTGAATACAACATTTTATTCTTCGAATTAGACTCAATAAGGCTTAAACTTGCTTTAAATCTGTTAAAAATAATCTGACGTTTCGTATTGAGAAATGCCAAACAGTTGTCAAAACTTCCTTACACGGGAGAAAAACCGTAAATTTTGACAGTGTCGAAAAATAAAACAAATTTCATTTACGCCTTAGATCCAAATTAAATTAGTATTTGCAAGTTGAATCCAAGTTATCATCTTATGTCAGTCTGACATCAGTGCAGAGAACGATCATTCGCGCCATTTAGTTCTCACGGAATGATAAAGAAATTAGAGAAGTTTTTTTGGTGTAAACCCAATACAAAATGTATGAACGAATGAAACATTAAAGGTAGGGAAACAGTTTTTTTTATAAATCATAAATTGCTTGTCAGAGCCCTGTCAGAGCCCTGTCAGAGCAACATGAGATAACTTGTATTGCAAATGCAAATCGTAATTAAAATTAGATCAAGACGTGAAATTTGTTTTTTGGGTTGCATCGCCAGATCGTCAGGCTCATTATCTTATCTGAATCACCCTGTATAATAAGAACCTTAACTGATTTTTAGACGCAACCCAAAATATATTTTTACAGGTAACTTGGCTTTTGCTGTATTTAAAAAAAAATTATTAAATTGAAATCAAAATAGTTGTTTATGTCATTCTTTGAATTTGACAGTGTTATCAATTCCACTTTTTTCCCTTGAATTCAAACGGTAAAGAAACTGACATGATTTAATACATGGAGAATGCCACACAAATGTGGCTGATCTCCACCGTCAAAGGTATACACTCTAAGACTCCACTTATAAAAAATGTCAAAGCTAACAAAGGTATCTGTGTGGGTGTGTTGAAAAAATTTAAACAGTACATCAATTAATGCATAGTGGTATCCGAGAATGTATTTTGGGTTGCGTTTGAAAATCGGTAAGCCTGTATACATGAGTCACTAAAAATGAATACATAATTATACATTGAACGGAAACATTCAAAATAGGTTGTAAAAGGTGTTTGTAGCTTGGACCAAGAATCTAACATTGCGGGTATAAGTCACCTTCCCTTCAGTAATTTATCTCTACACAAGTTTGTCGTAGTAGGTTGCTCTTATTTTTTTTGCAAAACTTGAAAACCAAAAGGAATTACGAAAAATTTTATTCTTGAAAACGATCACATTTTAGAGTATTTTACACTGCACTAATTATTCTTTTCGTAAAGTAACTAATTATGCAAAAAACGTTTGGTTCCATACTTTTTTATTCACTTGGTATAAAATTCTGAGACATACGAACTGCGACTTCAATTTTTTACTACATGCTATGGCATATTTAATAACAAAAATTAATGCAAAATTGTATGCCCTTATTTCTTCAATAAAACCACACTTTTCTTGTAGATGTTTAAAACTTTTAATTGTTTAAGTTAAAAAGATTTTCTCTTATGGCGTCTGCAATGTTAATTTTTGAGTATATCAAAAGTTATTTGAAAAAAAATCTACGTCGTTTAAAAAGTCAATGTATCTTAGAAATCATATCTACAAAACCGTCTAAACACTATTTTAAAAAATCTATTGCTTATTATCACATTATAACCACTTGAATAAAAAACATTTTTATTTTTTTATTAATAATAATCAAACTAAAACAAAATTATTAAAAGTTAAAAACTCTTCCTTAGGAATTCAAGTATTAAATCGAACTATTCTAAGTTGTAAATTATAAGCACATCCTCTGTTGTAACATTGTCATAACACTCATAACAGTCATAACCAATGAGCATTAAACTCCCTAAGCCATTTCTACAGCCCTGTAATCGACACCCCGTAAATTCGTGTGCCAAAAAATTTTGATACATTTACTAAGAAAGCCAGGAGTAAATAGTATTATTTGAAAATTTAGTCTTTGAAAAAAAAGTAAGTTAGTGAAAATATCGGCCTCTTATACTCCTGTGTAATTAAACAGAAGAGTTTCTTTGGGAAGCGTCCGCGCGCACCAATTTGGGTCAGGCGACATTAAAATGGGCCCCGAGTGTGGACGAGTTCGTGGGTAATTGGAAGCGGTGCCCTGCAAATCACTTCTGATTGTAAGACACGCCATCGGCCGGGCAAACAGGCTCCAAGATATATAGCTGGCTCACGTCTAAAGCTCGGGCTTGTAAAGTTGGGGTGCGCTTTGTCACGCGGAGAGCGACGTCGAGACGAAATTCCGGGACGACACAATTCGCAAAGATAAACATCCCTAGACTAATTCATGCCGCTGCATGATATTAAAACAACCCTTAAAGAGCAAGTGTACCGTCAAAATTCCCATATTAATAACGCACGTTTAAAGCGACTGCCTTATTACTCAAAAAATCCCTCAAGATTCAGACGACGCCTTAGGTGAGGATCCTTATTACTCGTACTTGACAAAGGGAATAATCGTAACAGGCGCTTTGGAGGCGCTTGGCCGACAAGAACCTCGACGCCCTTATTACTGAAACACATTAATAATATTGTCACTTAGACATTTTTGGCATCATTTTTTCAACATCGTCACTGTTGGGAAAATGGGGAATATCGCACACTTGAGATGCATTTTATGTAGGTACTTTTTTTTTCTTGGTACATGCAAAGGTAACCTTATTATTGGTAGTTTCTGATTTATTTAAAAAATGTAACTAAAAAGTTTGTGAACTCCCGCCGCATTGTTGCAATTTATTAGTTACGAATGCACATACAGTCTATAAATTTTCTATTTATCAGATTTGCGCATGTAACTGCAACCGAGGTAATTCCATCTTTAGTGATCTTTGGACCGGTAAATACATATAATCCTCTATAACTAACTAGCAGCCCGAGGTCTATTGTTGATTGTACTATAGAGAATGATAAAACGCAAGTCACACATAAATAGCTACGACTTTGCTAGATCTCATTACGGTCTTCATCATCTCACTTATCCTGTAGCTCCTAATTAAACAGAAATCCGTAGTTGCATTCGCAAGTCTTTATTGTGTTTATTCACCTGCAGCTATTAGTATCATACCTGCCACAACTCGAAAGGATTTTGTTTATTTTAGTGGCTGCTTAAAATTTATTCAGATTGCGTCTCACAAGCAGCTCTTTAAATTAATTTCAGATGTAATTCCGGAGTCGCCTGAAGGCCGACGTTGGTTAATTGTCGTCGAGATTTGTTTGCGACCGGAACATGTTTCAACGGCAGCGATGTTCGCTGCGAACATTTCAACACACAAAAACTACTTCTTTTATTATCATTGAACGTTTCCAATTCTTCGATAAAAGTTTCGGCATCCAAAATGATCAAGATTCCTAACAAAACTTACCATTTTATTGTTAATCTCATGGAAATGGATTTCACAAACTTTATCTACAACATCTTCGCTTTGAAATGTGACAAATCCAAAACCTGAAACAAAAAAAGTTACTTTAGAAATGGTTGGTCGATGAAACCGCGTTTTCCGATGTCGTTTATTATTTCGTTTATTTCGCTACACTGGCTACAAAATGCTTATTTTAAAAGTTTTTATATGTTGTTCGGACAAACATAATAACATAAAAACATCCTTTAGTTACCGCTTTCTGCCAAAAAATTAAAAAAAAAAAACTTTAACTTCTTAGACGCTTTAAAATCTCAAGAGAAACCTTTTTGCCAATAGGTAAAGTATGGGTATTAAGCAAAAACCAGCAAATGAGTCAATAACAACAGTTTGAGGCAAGATATAATATAGGACGAATTATTTATAATAAAGATCCTAACCGATTGTCAGACTTAACCAAAATACATTCTCATTAATAAATTAGCTTTTGTTGTGTTTGAAAAATGTTGATTATTACATTTGAATCAAAGTAGTCCTTGATATCTCAAAACATATTCAAACGACGAAGAAACTGACATAATCTTAATATATGGAGAATGCCAAAAAAATGTTGTGGCTGAATCTGTACCGTCAAAGGTACGCTTGCTGTAAGACTCCAGTTTATAAAAACTGTCAAAACTACCACAGATATATTTGAAAATTTCAAACAGTACATGAATTAAAGCATAGTGGTATCTGAGAAGGTATTTCGAGTTGCGTCTGCAAATCGGTTAGGGTCTTTATCATATGTGACTCAGCCTGTGTAATATTTTGGAATGACCTCCTAGGATATTTAGAAACAATTTTACTACAATAATATGGTAAAAAGAATTTTTTCAAGCGAGTAATTTTTATACCAAAAAGCTCCCTCAATTATTTGTATAGGAATTAAAAAAATGAAAGGTTTTCGGATGGCAACGGTACAAATACAAAGTAACTTTAAAGTCTTCATATCTATCAATAAAAGCGAATGTTTGCTGAGATTGTAGTTTTTGTTGCTGTTGCGATTAATGTTACTGTTGAAATCCGACTTTTATCGACTTTCGCGTTTTGCAAAGCCTGTCTAAAGCCATTTCCTGCTATTGCAGCAGATATCGGCGAACTGACAGCAACGTTTATAAACAACAAAGTTCCACTTTTTACCTTGATGCTGTACCTTAACGTCACGTTTTACGGTGCATCGATGCATGAATCACTGTTAACATCAAGGCACTTCGCTCCTATTTCGTTTTAGCTACTTACATTTTTATTCTTACAATTATTTAGTTCAACTTGTGATCAAACAAAATAACAACGAAAAAAAACCAAATGATTATGAATTTCATTAGCTAAAAACGAATTTTTAATAGCAATTTCTAACAAATCTGGATAATTATTGCATCTACAAATAATAAAAATGCATGTCTACTACACTCCAACTCGCTTAATTTGTACTTTGTTTAATGGAAAGTTTGTCTACATGTATATATTATTAATCCCACTTAGATAGGTATTCAAGTTAAAGAAGTACGACTGTACGTTGGTATTGGCTAAAAAACCTTTTAGGAGCTTAGCACGTGTCGTTTCGAAATGATGTAATTTGCTTTTATCAATTATGCCGGGGTTCAAATAAATAAGTGCGTAGTAGGTATATACGAGCGAAAATAAAAAAAAGGGAAGAGAAAGGACGGCCGCATTCGAGATTTGTTGAAAATATTATTCAGGCGAGTTTGCGGGCGCGATAGCGCACGTGCGTCAGAGAGATTGGGTCGGTGGAGAGCTTTTCCTTCCCATTTCCCCCTTTCAGTCCAACAGATAGGCAATAACTCATCCTCGAGCGCTAGTCGTGACAGCCGGGACCGCGAAAAGAAGAAGAAAACCCGCCGATTCAGCGGAATCCCGGTCTTTTGTCACAGGCGGTGCGACGCTTAATACGCGTCGACTCATATCTTCTTGGCTAAATGAGATTAAACGATGATATGTGCATACGTCGCTGGCGACATTGTAGCCATCGACTTCCGGACCTACCACCAAGGCATTATACTCGGATGCGGCAACTGCACGACGATAATCCCCAATCCGGGATGAACGAATCTCGGTCGCAATTGCATCGACATGAATTATCGCGATGGGATGATAGTCAAGTGAGAAAAGTGCTTTGCAAGCTGGGCTCAACGTTTTTTCCCCAACTCTCTTAAGAGAGCGAACTTTAGCTTAGGAAGGATGAAAGTGAATATTTGTATCATATGTCTTCTCACTTTTTTTCTCAGCTACAGTTTTGTAGGTGCAAGTTATGCAAAGCAATGAATTTTAATGTTTGTTTCATATACCACTCTAAATTGAAATCCCAACACCTCCAACAATTGTTAAAAATAAAAATTTTAGGTACAGACTAGGTATGTTACAATTAATAACTGATTAAAATTTCGTATTAAAAGAATGTTTAGCTTCTCTTTCTGGGCAGTATCTCTTTAAAATTTAAAGATCAATTGACAATATTGTCAACGTAACCCTAAATCATGTAGGAGGGTTCAGAATGCTCAGTTATTAGAGGGTGAATAACAGTGTAATTTTTAGGTGATTTTCAAGCATGTTATAGAACAGTGTCGACGTGAAAGATTTGAGGCTTAATTGTTATTGAAAACAGATCTTTTGCACTTCAAATTTGCCACAACAAGCATTCAAATTTAATTTCTACCAGTTAAATCCATTCCTCTAATGAGGAATGGATGAATGATCGAAATAAAAACATTTTTTTAATTAACAAGCCCAATCATTGCTTTGCTTTTATTCTGACCACATACTTCAATAAGAATATAAATGTTGACCGATTGTTATTTATGTATATCCGATCCCTATAATGTGTAACGAAAAGTTTATTCGTCCTTGAGAAATATTTATATCTAAGTGTTCGGATTTTAATTGCGAATATTTCGCTTTTTCACTTCTCTTAGCTCTAGTTTCGCAGGTGCAAGTATCAGAAACTGATTTTCAAGATTTTTAATGCATTAACTGTGAAATAACTCATAGTTTATGCTGGAACACTGGCATAAGAATATTTTTGAAAGTGGCCTTTAAATAGTGAATATAGTTTGACAAATATCTAGGAAATGTATTATGCAAAAAATCTTTTAAAGCCATTATCTGGGAAACAAGATTTTAGTACTTATGACACTGTTGTCGGCGATGTGCGATTTGTAAGTCATCCAAACATGTAGATAAAGAAACACACAGCCCGCAAGCGAGTATTTCCCATGTCTTGCAGCAAATATCAGAGGACATGCAATAAATTTCCCTGATTCATTGATGGAGTGAGCGTATAGACAGTTCGGCCCCACCTGACATCCGTTATTAATTAACAGAACACGGTGCTCCCGTCGAGGCGGCGATTGTAACAAATGCACTCGAAAGTGGAACGTGTTTTTCGGCGTTCTTTCATCTGACCATGGTCGATATTTCAATTGGTGCCCGAACAGAGACACAATTTCCGCACCACACGTTGCGAATAAAAAAAATTTGGCGTCGCCTCGCCACCGTATATCAAACAACACAATTATGTAAATTGAGTTTCATAGCTTATAATCTGACACATTTAATGCAGATATCTCCAGCGCTGGAAGCTCTGATGTAACGGCCCTACGTGAGAACGAGTATCGCGCTTTTACCGGCCTGCATTTTAATGCAAATTAAACCGATTCATCATTGGTAATTACGAGTCGCTAACCGAAAAAAAGACAGAGCAATTACGCAAAATCTTCGCTGTGTTGCTGCGAAGGCAGTAGATGGTAGAAGAGGGACGTTTTTGCTACGCGAACAACAAAAAAACGCAGCTTTTCATCAGGACGAAATAATAACTCGAGAGTTTTTGCGGCTGCTGGATTTCAAACTTTGCGGCAGCAACATTGTGCCCAAGAGTAAGCGGCTTTGCCACAACCTTTATCCATTTGGAGGTCCCGGGTCAAAGAGGACTCTGAGTGTTTAATGATGCGAGTAAACGAGAACATACATCGTTAGTCTTTACATGTTATAGACGCCTTTGTGCCCACCTTGTATGTAACAAATGAAATGTGAAATATTAATTTCACTGCGCAACATGCAAACGATGCACACACAAATGATACAAAAATAAATAAGTAAAATACCCGAGAAAAAATCTTAACAAAATGGGTTTAATAATAATTCATAAATCAACCACTTTTCCGACATGTCACATTTGGATGGCGTCGAGAAACGAAGTAGTTTACTGGATGGATCATTTAAGTGTAGAAATGTCAGAGTAAGCTTGGAATTACATGGATCCCTGCGGACGCCTGCAAATGTCACCACTCAACGCTGGCTTGTACATACAATAATGATATCCTGAGGGAGAACCGAGCGAGCAATGGGCTATGTACATGATCTCACCGGCAAGGTAAGCTCATTTGCAACCAAAAAAAATCTATAAAATGTATGTACAGGTGTTCCGTTTTTATTGTTACAAATTTAATACAAATTTAAACAGGTGATAGAATATTCATTTTTAAGATAAAAGTTTCCTATGAACATTAGCAAAAAATACTATGTAAGCTACACACCCTGAAAAGGGTTCATGTGCATAAATTTTGTCCAATTTTGGTTGAGCTTAGGATAAAAAGTACCCTAACTACTTTGGCTAAAGTTTCTTGCCACTTTCAGCAACAAAATTATAGATTCCATAGTTTTTTACAAAAAGGAGATCACTTGCGTTTTTTCGCTGCAAGGTAGGTAGGTACCCTTTTTGAGCAAAAACATTTTGAAATTTATGCTACAGAGCCTGCACAGGATAAAAATTTAAAATTAATTTCGTTCTACCCTATACTCTTTCAATTTAAAACGCAACTGATTAAAAATTGTGACATTTAATCTTTGAATTCGTTCAGGTGTTTGAAAGTTATCAGCTGTACCTATTTTACCTATTCTGAACTAGTGCAAAAATCCCATCACCCCTTTCGGAGGGTGTAGTTCCCTTACATAATATTTTTCGATACACGTTCATAGAAAACTTTTGTCTTAAAATTAAATATTCTATCACCTGTTCAAATTTGTAACAATA